AGCCCGATCGAATAATATCTTCTGCCTCCGAAAACTCCTGAAAATGTGAAATTTTAACGAAAAATTGCATTTGTTGCTAAAAAATGTTAAGTGGTAATGAAACTTATAAACTATATGTATAAGTACATTTTTATGTTAAACAATGTTTTTCGTGATTAAACTACCTGTATATTATGTTTGGACAAGTTTAGTATGCTGTATTTAAAGAGTTTCCCAGCCCAAATGAGACCATATTATAAGCTAAGAAAGGACTTTACCATTTTCATTAGTAATTTCTAGTATTACATTTGTATAGCTCTCGGCTCACAGAATTCGAAGATTCAGTGACTCAGAACTCACCACGTGAAGGTGGCTGTACTCCGAGTTGCTCCCACACCATGCACCCAACCTACCACCCATTAGCATACTGCGAGTTAACAATTGTTAGCACGGATTCTCAAAACAGTGAAATTTAAATGCCGTTGAATGGCATTGTAATCACATACTGTTTGGGTATCACAACTACTTATAAATATCCTGTTTAGAACCTGTATTGGTTTTTTATGTTCCAAATCTGCATTTGTGACCGCGAAGTCAATTTCGCTAGTACTAAACCATGTCGTTGTTCCTCCCCACAGATATGAGTGGCTGCATCAGTGACAACCGCAAGCTGTGGAAAGATATTTAGCGACTGAGCCGGTTGTCACTATGTCTATCAAATAATCTATCGGCATGTCTGCCAACAGAAGCGGCTCAGTGATGGAGGTCCCTCTCCAAGATATCAGATCAATGTAATCAGATGCATCAAAATAAATCTTAGGAACCCTAAAAGACCTAGGCCTAATAGTAATGGTCCCATCTTGTATTTCAGATATTATGTTTTTTAAAATGCGACGATTTGCAAGCTCCCTGACATGGGCCTCTCGTCAGAGATCATCGCAAGCAGCAAGTTTTCTGGGTGGCAAAATTAGGTGGCAGGGAGAAACCGCGAGTATCGAATCAGAGACCACACATGCCTGGCACCTTTCGTGCAAGATGGGTCGCTTTTGATTAGAAACCAAACAGGGCCATATATTTTCATGACATAATTCACAAGTGATACCAGCTCTGGGAATGGATTTGATGTTCCTACGTACATTCGAGGGCCTGGATCGCGTTTAGCCAGGTCCTCGGGGCAAACTCCAATTTCGACGTCACGGATCATGTCCAGGCAATACCTTATCGGCACTGAGATCAGTTAAAGTTAAGTTTTGAATGTTTGAGGAGATTGGTCGGAATTCAACTACGCGCAAAGAAGTGCACTTTGGTAATTGCTGGCCGATGGGCCCTTTATAACTTGAAGGGCCTGTACTCTCGCCATCAAGTAACTGAAATAGGTGTCTAAGAGGCAATTTATTGCAATGAAGAAGGCAAATCAGCCGCTGCAATGGGCGGTTTAACTTTTCCTCAATAAGACGAACAACTCCTCCCACGTGTCCTTCATTTGTATTAGTTCCGTCTGCACCTATAGCTGAAATATCGTCAATGTCTATGTTGTCAGTCTTAGCCTCGAGAAATTCAACCAGACCCGTGGAGATCTGGACGGCTTTGCTTGAAGTAGGAGTATAATGATCCTGGCTCTCGTACAATAGTAATATGTTCCTCTTGGACACATCTGCGGTATTGTTTATTTCTCTCTTCTACTAAGATAAGGTTTTTGTTTTTGCGACCCTCAAAATACAACCCCAACAAAGTTGTTTCAATACACTCAGCAGAGATCTCTCTCATTTCTCTCCTCACCCTTATACACTCACGCCTAACCTTATTTCTCGGAGACCAAACCAACATCTTGTAAGGCAGCTGAGGCTATGGCAGCGACGGATCTGTCCGACAAGCCGTACCTATCGCTGACTAGAGCTGTTTTAGAAAGAACTAAACGATTTTGAGAGGAAGAAAGTTGCTGGCCTTTTGAAGTCGATGGGGAGAAATCATCACTCTTGGTCAGACACTCAATACTACCATTATTTTGCTATTCTCATCGGCAAGAGTACCGATGACCATTTTTCGGACTGTTCTCTCTGTAGAACTTTTCTCTCTTTGGTACAAGATCATAAAGCAAGGTCTGAATATTTGCAAGAGCATATGTCGAAAAGGCTTGTTTGCGCATGTAATTTAAAACGTTCAATAGTTTTGGCCTTTATTGCAGTTTTGAAGTTTGCTATGTGACTTCATGATTTTTCATGATAAGCCTTTAACATTTGTAGAACTCTTTTATGCGTAACATGTGGTATTGATGCCTTTTCGTACACGGAAATAATCTCCTTGGCTATGATCTCAGCAATACCACAAAACAAAGGTTCTTTGTTTCCCTATTTGGGAGCTAAACATTGCCTTTCGAAAGCACAGCCTTTGATAACATCCTCATACTTGGGAAGTTTAAAAGAAGCCAGTTCTTTTGGACCACCAAGCGGAGGGCAGTTGAACGTCGAACGATTTTTAAACTTCGACGAAGTGGCCATTGCTACTATGAATAAATGCAGAGAAGCGAAGGAAACTACACCAGTTAGCAACACCAGATTGAACAGAAGTATGAAAAAGAAAGATACAGTAACAAGAATATGACAGAAGCGCCAAATGAAAAATTGTAGGAACTAAACGTGTACTCTAAGCACAGTATAAACAAATGAGACAGAATACACTAGGAAGACAACGTGTTCTAACAAAAAGACTATTACATAAAAGAACAACGATAGCCGCTAAACTCCGTAAAGGCAGCGAATATCACAAACGAAAAAGGATGCCACCCGTTACCCTACAGAAAGCGTGGTGCTCTAGCTTTGTCCCGACAGGTTATGACGTGTCTCAAAAGAACCAATGCACGCAACGAATGAAGCCGCCGGACCGGCGGCGCGGCGTGGCATCAAGGAGTGGGAGTGGGGAAGGGGCAGCAAGGAGTGGGAAGGATGAGTTTAAGCGGCGTAGGAATAAAGTGTTAGTCTTTCTGAATAGACAACAAATCGTAATCGTGAATATCTTTTACCAAAACAGACTGTCGTTCTCCGATTAGTCTCCTGTCTGTTGCTCCACTGTTGCTTGTCTTGCTGTTCCACTCTTGCCAGGCACGTGTGTTACGGTCTACAAATGTGTTTTTATCCACGAAAAACATTGTTTAACATAAAAATTGACTTATACATATAGTTTATAAGTTTCATTAACATTTAAGATTTTTTAGCAAAAAATGCAACTTTTCGGTAAAATTTCTCATTTTTCAGTAGTTTTCGGAGGCAGAAGATATAATTCGATCGGGCTGAAATTTTAATATGTTCTTAGGTACACAACTTTTCCGCAATCGGCTGTTTCGAATAGAGGAATTTTTATTTTTTCGCTC